CTTATCAAATATATCGATAGGCTGACAAGAAAAAAATAGTCGACTCCGCCATTGACCCCTATCGCTCGTATCGCAAGTATTATGGTACGATTCGTCCTGAACGCATAAAAATTCCTCCATGCCGAGATGGTTCATCGCAATTTGAAAGTGTAGCGGCCCGAAACTGCCTGAATGAGGGGTTAAATATACATTCTCCTAGAAAAACCTTCAATCATTTAGTTTTGAACTCATTTTAATATTTTAATATGTAGATATAAATAGAAATGATAACTTTGAAAATAGAGATTCGCACTTTAAAATTTCTGACGAAATGATCCGTTACGTGGTTGAGGCGAAAAGTGAAGAAAAAAGGGTTCACTCTGAAGATGAGCAGAGAAAATTCGGATCGGATCTTGACATTAGCATCATTTAATCTAAAGAATGGACAATAGATGATGTTTTAAGATTAAATTTTTAGATAGTCAACAAAACGAACACAACAATGATTCTTACCTATCGATTATTTTCGAAAACACTTCTTCTCGCAGATGCAGGGTTCCAAACACGTCAAAATAATATCCAATTATTTTAGGTATTTGTAATCGTATGTTGATATTTTTAGCAATTCCTGATGCAAATATTACAAAATCAGTATAATCCCTTAATATATAATATGGTCAATAAGCTGATGCATACCTGATATATCAGCAAGAATGCAAATTATTTGACTGATTTCTTTCTGAATCTCTGACTTGGATTCAATTGAAGAAAATTGATGGTTTTTGCAAAATAACAAAATATCTCGTGTCCACTCAAGAAGTAATGACAGAGAATTGAACGACAGCTCTCTCTGATTTTGTAAGAAAGTCAAAATAATCGTGATCATGGCAAGAAAAGTTGGGGCCACTAGATCTTTCCCCTTCGAATTATCAATAAAATAGTCCTCACTGATTGGATAATACAAATAAATATACTTGACAAGAATAATAATGAATTCCAAAAATTTATTAATAAAAATACCTCTTAGAAGTCCTGCGTAACGTGTTCAACAAAAGGTTCATGATAACACCTTCAAAATAGTCATGCTCAATGATCTTGTTGATAATCACGTAGAGGGTCAAAAATACTTCTCCAGCGTGACCCCACGCACAAGCAAGTTCAGATAGAATCTCAATATCAAAAGTAAGTATTAACATTGCAGACCTCTCATCAAGGATGTGACTTTTCGATTGAATGTCTGGTTTTTCCAGAGATAATCGTAAACTTTCGAGGAGTGAATGAAATTCCTGATTTTCCTGAACCACATTAAAGATTGAGAAATTTTTTCTCTGGGGATGAATTTTTGAAATTATAGCGTTATTTGGTGACAATAATATGAAAGAAATCATGAGGCCAATTTCGGAGGTAATCTGGTGAATCAAAGAAGACTCTTCTTTCTCAGATGTTGAGCTGAAGAAAAACCGGATTAGGTCCATGAAATCGGAATGAAATCGTGAATTAAATGGATAGACCCAGCGTAGCTTCATCAATGATGAATTCGGGTTTAAAAGAGTGTAGATAACGTCTTGATGAACATGTGGAAACCAGTGGGCTAGAACCTAATATTATATATGTAACGGATGAATTTTTAGACCAAAACACCAATCTCATGCGTTGAACTAACACTCCAATAGATACCTGCAGAAGACAATCAAACCACTCATCGAAAACAGACGCCGAACATTCCTTTTGAAATCCGTTTTGCACTTGAAGCAACCAAAATTTGATGGCCTGAATCTGATTATGAACAAAATGTTCTTTTCTTGGAACGCTTAAGGCCAAAATTGTCTGAATACCTAGAGAATATATATTAGGTTCTTAAGCAATCGAGAATTTGAATATACAAATCACAGTTCTTATCAATGGAAAAAGAATTATTTGAACCTTTCTCAAACCATTCAGTATCCATATAAGTTTCACCAATAGTTAATATGAAATTTACTATTGAAGAACGTAAACGATCAAATGGATGGTCACTGTCCGCATTAGAATCATTAATGGTGTGTACGTCCTCCAATTTTTGCGAAAGAACTGGAACAATGGCCGCTGTCACCGCTTGAAAACAGCTTTAATATCATAAGGAAAGATGAGAATATGTACAAAACGTCTATTCCATGCGTACACTAGTGCAAAACTACAAAGTCCCAAAAAGATATACCTTAACAATACTTTTAAGTTAGTGGGAATGACATTCTTGATCTCGTCATTGTCAACCTGAGATCCCTCTGGAGAAATCATCCCTCTGGAGAGTGCTTCCATATCTACCAAGAAATGACTCATCAATTCATATGCAAAATCCAGATGTTGTGACCAGAAAGGACGCAATTTTTTAAATAAGTCTACACAAAGCAAACGTAAGGATTCAACTATGAAATATCGAGTGGAGTAGATATACATATAAGTTATCGAAATTACCAGCAATCTGCAGATGTAATGAGTCTGAAACAGACGTATCGATATACCACCCAACTAATAAGTCAATTATGTCCTGTAGATTGAATTTGTTTAAACGACAGAGTCGCGTAAGCTCAAGAGAGGGTAATTTCAATTTTTTTTTGAAAAATTAACCAATCATACTTGAAAGCGACTTTCAAAATCTTTGGGATAACTTTCTGCTATTTTGTCCAGCACTTCGAGAACACCGGGAAAACAGTCAGAAATTTCCATTGAATCA